TCCAAACAAGGAAAAGTTGCAGTTTTCATAGAGACATACTTTGTGAAGGAACAGGTAATGCGTGCTGCGTAGCTAAACCTGACTGTGTATGTGTCTGAGGGGAACATAAATGAGCATGCTTCAATAGCCTATATTCTACAAAAAAGGGAAGAACAGTAATTCATGTTTATATTAAGAAAAAAGTAGCAGCTGCATTGCAGAAGTCCATTTTCTTATTTGAAAAATGCAGTTAAATTTCGTACAGCTAATCAAGGCTATTTGAAACCTAACGTATACCTTGAACTACTATAGTTACATCTTTAAGCTGTAAGTGTTCAGATATTTTATAGGAAGTTTGTTAGCTTTTTTTTTGCACAGAACAGTTGTATCTCTTAGAGCTGAGATACCTGTATGACTACACTCTGTGTGGTATTATTCTGACCAGTGCAATTCTACCATAACATACTGGGACCTACTGGCCTATACCACCAAATCACTCCCAATTTTTATAACTAAGTGTAAAGATGGCCTCAACCACTCTGAGTCATTCAACAGTTAAAGGAACAAAACAGCAAGGCTCTGAAATAGAAGAAAAAGGGGTGACAGTATATGAAAGCTGGATATATAACACTTGAGAGAGGTTAAGTTGCCATAAGTAACTTTTTTTTTTTTTTTTTTAAATTATGATCAGGAGATGTCCCTCTGACTGGCAAGCTGCAGCCTAGGTTCATAGATAAACTAAGGAGTCTTCTCAAGGCTTGCATCAACCCTATAGAGATTTGTTGTGCCACAGCTAGCAAACTGTAAAGTCCGGATAATCCTACCCACCCCCACCCCGCCTCAAATTCACAATCAACAAGATACTATTCAAAAAGGCAGAAGAAGCTGGAGTCAAGAGACGGAACAGCATATCCCAAGAACTTCTTTGATTAACAGGTAGCTGAAACAATTTGAGACACATGTAGATAGCCTCCATGACTTAAGATATTTTATAAAACAGAAATTAAAAATCCAACAACGAAAAACCACCCACCAAATCTCACTACATACAATCTGTAATTACAGCTTTGCGTGTTTTAAAAACAAGATGAATAGAATACAATTTCTAAATGAACACCTGCAGACCTTTGAAACTTTATAGAAAATAACACACTATTCTCCATTTTTCTAATCCTTTCTTTTTTTTTTTTGAAGTCTGAAAAATGTTAGAAATATTCTCATCTTTGCAATTACAATAAGTAACTGATTTTACAGGTAAACATAGCATTCTGGTCATTCAGGTAAATGGGTAACATCATGGGAAAACATGAGACACAGGAGAGTCAGGAGTATAGAGACCGGGACCATTTCAGGGTGTCCATATTTAGAAACATCTTCTGAGATGTCTTTTTGGACTTTTCCCCTTCCAGATTTCACTACAGACTAGAATGCCTCTTCTTCCCTGAAAAAACAGGAGAAAACACATATCTGCTTGGATATGTGTTACAGCCCTAAGTATGGTTTGGCTGGTATATAGTTCATTATGAAAAAGTCACATTCCTTTTAACATCCATCTCTGCTTATTAAATTACAGACATTCTGATCCTGTCCACCCAGATATAACTGGTGCTGGGCACTCCGAGTCAAAAAGCCTTCATCAACAGTGCCAAAAGAGCAGTCAAAGTCACCCAGAGTAAACAGAAATTGAAGTGGCATCTAACAAGCACCAGCATCAGAGAAGAACAGAGGAACACATAAAGCCTCTCTTCTGTGTCTTTCTTGTCTGATGTTTCATTAGTTATGCAGTGCATTGATCTTCAGTCAATTCCTCCTAAAAATGTTGTTCAAGTTTGCAGAACGGATATTTGTCCAGAATGGAATCTGTCATAAAAATCCCTTCGACAGAAGATCTTTCCTCAGCATATACATGGCATTAAAGCAGTAACGATGGGAACACAAACTACTCTAAGCCAGGGTCACACTTAAAGTAATTGTGTTAAATCAAGGAGGGAAGCAGCCTAATCCTTGTCTACATAGATATGAAGGAAGCTCTTTTTAACTGCTTTTAATCTGGAATTCCTCCTGAAGCAACATTTAAACAGGTGAAAGTTTCTTCAACCGAGCTAATAGAAAAGGAGATTTTGTTTACCCCACCCTCTATTTGGACTGTCAAAGCTGTTGAACACTAATTATCTCCCCCGGCATATCTTTATCATTTTGTCTCCCTGAGGATTAAAACTGCAGTCTACATTCCAGCACTGACTAGATGAAGATTAGGTTATCTGCAGCCAGCTAAAATCTGAAATTGGTGTATCAGAGTACTAGTATCATTAAAGCCCAAATTATCCATTATGCCCTTTATGGTCTGGCAGGGGTTTGAAGGGGTTTTAGTACTCCAGGACAGACAGGAAAAAATGCACACTGCCTACTGGGCAGAATGCTATTTCAGAAAGTGGATTCAACACAAATGAATTTTTTTTTTAGTTGAGCTACTGCATGAGTTACCTCAGAAGACTTCTCCCCCTCCCCCCCTCCAAAATAAAGAATGAAGAACATCAACATTTGATGGCATCCCCATCAAGCATACAACTAAGGAGCCTTGTAAATTGCTATTTAGTACCCTCTGTACTTACTGAAAGGAGAAAGCACTCCTCATAACATTAACCACTTAGCAGAGGGACTCTAATCACAGATCAGCCTCTCCTCCCCTGCCCCTATTCCTAAAGTTACAATAAAAAAAACCAAACAGGTGACAGCTGCAATTAATCTGTTGCTCTAATAAAAAAATAAAATGGCACTTCTGTTTAATACCCAGTTAAGTTTGTTAGATGAAAAACTTCACTATTTGCTCTATATTCAAAGTCAATTTTGCTGACAGATCTCCTGTACTCTCATACACGCAAATGAAGAAAACTTTGGCTTTCATTATTGCTAGAGAAGGGGTAGAATCATCAAAAAGCATTTGTAATGCTTTCAACTCATTGTATATCTAACTTCTAACAGTTCTCTAACCTGCCTTTATGTTCTGCTAGTGTGCGTAACCTGAATACACTTCAAACTAGTCAGAGACTCGGAACACAACTTCAGAATCGTAACACTCGATCTGATCACAGCAAGGTTCAAAACAGATCCCAAACATTTGAACAAGTACTGCTTACAGCAGTCTGTACACTGTAAAACATGATGTTGGTACAGTGTGTACAAAAACTCAAAATGCAAACAACTTCCATTTCATCCAGAGATTCGTGAATTACAAGGATTAGATATCCCTACACAAACACATGCACAAGTTCCTGTAGACTTAAAGAACACTATTTCATCTGACACCTTTATCAACTAGTAACAGCAGTTACTGAGCAGAAAGGCAAGACTCTCTAAAGTATTTTATCACCCATTCAGGAAATACTTCTGAAGATTCTCTATCACAGCTTTCTTTGATTCTACAGCTAAAAAGATGATAAACAGTGGGGTCCTAACTACTTGCCTGTGTAACATTTTAGTTGTAGGAATACCCCTACAAAAGTTAAAATACAGTTAAAAGCTTCTCATCACACTGTAATATAATGATCAGCTGAATTCTCAAGTTTCTAGAAACTTCACAGCAATAGTGGAAATAAATCCTATAATTGACTAGCCCTGATTAAAAAAAAAAAGATAAAATAGGCATACATTTAACTTGCTGTCTCCTAATGCAATTGCAATTCCCTGCAATTAGGAGAGCCCTTTCTCTTTGAGAATCTAAAGCAACTGATGTTATCTGTTACAGCACAACACATGAAATAAATGTGAGAAGGCAAGCCATTTTTCAACCACTTGAAAAAAGACACCTAACTGAAGAAGAATGCACAAAATCTTAATTTGAATAGATGATGCACAGGAGATAAGGTTATGCACTAAGAATCTTGTGGGCTACACTAAAATACCAAATTCTACAGACTGCTTTAGAAAGTCTGTGGCAAGTATGCAAGCTGTGCATCAATTAATTACCAAACCTGATGTATCAGCGAAGTACTTGGGGATTATCATCATGTTTATTAGTCAAATAGCAAGGAGTAAGCAATGTAAGACCAGACTATGAAGAGACAGCTATTACAGTATTGGTTGTAAATTTACAGTTCAAACCCTAGATATCAATTCTGGCTACTAACAGAGGAATTTTGGGTGGACAAGACTTGCAGGTTGATTTTGAATTACTATTTTAGCATTTGTTTACAGAAGAGCCCACAATTTTGATTAGATTATCTCGCTTTAAGAAGGTTAAATAATATGGGTTAACCACAGAGAATACCACATAGAAACACTAAACATACTCCATTAAACTGAATTTGTGTCTTGGTGACTTTTCGTTAAACAAAATTAAGACTACTTTAAATAAACCTACAAAAATTATTTCAAAAACAATACTTTTTACAAAGACAGAGTTCTGCTGATTTTCCTTGGGTTTCTATTGTAGATTAAAAAAAAATTATGTGCAACAAGAGACTAATTTACCCTCACACTTCCTGTTGCTTCTAACACTTCATGCTACAAAATTATATCCTTTATCACACAGAATTAGGTTGATGAACACAAATATTATTTGAAAACAACCAAATCTCCAGATGGAATTCTAGCTGTGCTGTATACACACCTTAAAAATAAAAGTACCAGTGCTAATCCTCATGCACTGGGTGGAAAATTGATACCTTTAACAATCCAAAACTCATTCAAAAAGAATCTGAACTTTAAAAATCAGATGCAGAGGGTCAATGCATTGCAATGCAAGTGACAATTTAATTCAAATATGTTTCATTTTACAAGAGCTGAAGTTAGAAAAGTTTAGTGTCCTACTGTTTTCTCGTAATTAGACACGAGCCTGTTCTAGCTCCCTATCTGGGAACAACACACAAACACTGGAGTATTTTCTTCTTCAGTTGAACCACTAACTTTTGCAGAAATGTCACATGTCCAATTAAATGCAGTAAACCTTAAAATAATTTTTCTGACAAACAAAATAATTACAGCGACCAATGATCATCATTTTTCATAAGCTATCTCCTTACCATTAGAGGAAGAGCCCCTATTTGCAAGTGATGAAGTCGAGGAGGAGCATGGTAGTGGGCCAAGTGAGGATGCAAGGGCCCTGGAGGGTAAGTAGCTGCAGTCACACCAGCTTCAATTCCCAGTTCCCTGTCACAGGAATGAAAGTGGCATTACAGTAAAGATACATCTTGACTCCTAGATACAATTCCAAGGCTTTGGAAAGCATACAACACAGCACAACTACGGTAACAATTCTACATAAAGACTTTTTAAAAAATTATTTAAACTTTGCTCAAGAATCATCTTAATCCTACCACAAAAGCTGTTTTTACATCAGCTGTGAAGATTTAGGATGATCAGTAGAGATCATCAGTAGACAGATCAGTAGAGACAACTCCACATTTATTGTGCCCATGAGTATCATCAGCGTGGAGTCTTCTCTGCAGCTCACACTGTGGGAACAGTAGCTGTCATGCATGTACCTCTTCCCTAACAGTAAGAAGTATCTATTGTTTTTAATAAACAGTTGCGTAACTTAAATGTAACCTTCGTGAGTGGGCCTGATGCAATTTTAAATAAGCTCAGACAGAGAGGAGAGAGTACAAATTAGTTTGTAACTCAAATCCAAACCTCTATTTTACAAAGAACCATAAGAAGTCTTCAGCAATGTTTTACTTGCCTATTTTAAAATCAATGTTTTTAATAACTACCTAGAGTCAGTAACATTTAATTCAATTTTAAAAGCAATAAACAAAAACCTCTAAAAATGTATTTAAGATACCGAGTACTCAGAGCAGTATTCCAAAGCCAACATCTACAAATTCTAAGCTGCCTGCAGCACTTTAAAAATCACAGCCAACATTATCAGCACTGTGATCAGCACATTATGCCTTTTGTCCTGAGCCCCAAAGAACTAAAATAGTATCCAATTACTAACCACGCAGATCTCTCTGGAGCTTGTCGAGGATGGGAAGACATTGTCTGAGGCACATGAATGTGATGCCCGTGACCATAATTGGGATGCATTCTGTGAGGATGCGGAGGCGGCCGTTCATGAGCACGTCTAAACATAAAACAGCAACAGTTAATTTCACATACTTGTTAGTATCAAGAAAACAACATCCATAACCAAAACATTACAGACTGAATTACTGGAATGCATTCAAAATAAAAACATAAAACTCCCCATACAGTATTTTAATTTCAACTTTAGATATAAGTGTCCTGGTTTTGGCTGGGGTAGAGTCAACTTTCCTCCTAGTAGCTGGCATAGTGCTGTGTTTTGGATTTACTATGAGAATAATCTCGGTAACACACTGATGTTTCAGCTGGTGCTAAGTAGCACTTATACTAGTCAAGGACTTTTCAGCTTCCCATGCTCTGCCAGGTGCACAACAAGCTGGGAGGGGGCACAGCCGGGACAGCTGACCCAAACTGGCCGAAGGGGTATTCCATGCCATATGATGTCATGCTCGGTATATAAACTGGGGGGAGTTGGCTGGGGGGCAGTGATCACTGCTTGGGGATATGCTGGGCATCAGTCAGTGCGTGGTGAGCAATTGCACTGTGCATAACAATGTGTATATTCTTTTATAATTATTACTACTACTATTATTATTCTTTTCCTCTGCTGTTTTATTAAACTGTCTTTATCTCAACCCATGCGTTTTACTTTGATTCTCTCCCCCATCCCACTGCTGAGGGGAGGAGCGAGCAAACATCTGTGTGGTGTTTAGCTGCCTGCAGGTTAAACCACAACAGTACATTAGAAACTAATTATGATATAAATTTCATATTCAAAGACAAAGCCAGCTTCAGCTACTGTGATGTGACTTTCACTTGGCAGATGTGACTACAGAAGGACTGACAAACTGTTTAATCCTAACCTCAAACCGCAGGTAGGAAAGCAAGGGCCATAGGATGGTCATGTTGAGATTCAGCATCATTCACAGCTATGCTGCAGTGTATTTCTAGTAAAACTATACCAGCAGAAGTACGTAATTAGGGTAATTTTTTCTAGTAATTATTTCTAGTAAAACTATACCAGCAAAAGTAGTGATTAGAGGAAACTTAATATACTAATCAGAGGACGTTTTCCTTGAAACATATTTGCATCACACCTCAAGTACTAAGAGCACACAGGTTTTTTTCCATGCCAGCTGGTATAGAACAACTACAATTTTGGAAAAAGAATCTTCGAAGAAACCTGCTAGCCTGACTTCTACTACTTCACCACTTCTCAGTTACAGAAAGAAATGGATTGGTATTTTTCTTTCCATTGCTTTCAGTGAAGAAAGTATTTTTTTATTCAACCTAGAAACTTGGATTTTGCCAAAAGCAGTACACCGACTCCGGATTCAGTACTACCTTAAACTACCTGACAAAGTAGACTAGACATTTTGTAAATTTACACGTCTAGAGAAGTAAAAAGTTACTTAACAGCACAAGATTCTAATAACTGTAAATTCACACTTCTCCAGAGAAACCTATCAAGCTTGTTTAAATTTTGTTAGAAATATTCATTTTCTGCAAAGGTACAGACCAACATGGGAACAGACCTATCAGCAGAACCTAATCCTAGTGTCATCTCCCTTCAGTTTATCAAGTTACTATGGGGAAACGTCTAGAAGAACAAATTGTAATAAAAAACCACAGCAGAAAAACTTCCATAGTTCCATAAAAATTTAATGTCATGTAGGCCCATGTTTCCTAAAACGAGTCTTAATTTAAAAGAAACACATTTAAAATTATTTCTATGAATGTAAAAACCCTAGGCTGTCTATCCTACAATATTAGTATAAAGTGTGTGACCAGATTTAAAATAAATAGAAAATCTGTATGTTATACAAATGCAGTGTACCCTCATACACTGCGTTTTGCATATTTTGTGGCCAGTTCCAAGACCCTAAGGAAGTTATAGCTGTTGTACCCACACGAGACATGAGAGGGAGAAGAGGACTTTAACCATTCTGTACTTCCAATCCTGAAAAAGTCCTATATTGTTAGACAGAAGGTATACAAGCCAGATTATCCAATACGCTATTTCTAAAAATGAAGGATGAAAAAACATTCTAAGAACACTTTGAGATGCTGGGACACAGAACTGAAGGAACTGCAAGTCTGCTGGCAGTCTCAGTCTGTGTATTAAATAACGGAGCAAATACACACAAGTTTCTGGTTGTCAGAGTATAATCTGATTTATATGAGGTCAGGCCAAGAAACCTATAATATTGATTTTGCATGGAAGTGATATGAGGATTAGAGGGGAAAAGAAAGATCAAGAGCGGAACAATTTTGTAACATTGCAAAACTATAGAGAAGAAACCTCACTAAGCAAACTGTCAGTGTCTGACCTGAGATTGGCGACTTCAGATAGAATGTCAAGGAAGAACCTCTTATCAACATTTGGCTACATTTTCTATACATAGAAAGATAGTTCACTAGGCTAGAAATGCCAATATTCACATTTCCATCCCCAAACTACCAGAAAGTTTCCAGAATTGATAAGATAGCTACCGCTCTTATTTTTCCTTAAAATGCTATCTTGGTGTCTCACATTCACTGGCTTTAATGTTCCAAAATTAATTTTGGGGTATGACTGCATAATCATGGGCATACACAAGCAGTATGCCTGTATGTTCAGGTTAAGGTGTTTAGACATTACACCATTTGCATAGCAAAGATAATAAGAGAACAGGTGTAGGTTCCAACAGATCAAAATTTTAATGACCAAGAAAGCGAAAGCAGGGTTATATTTGACTTTCCTGGGGGGCAGGGTGGGGTGGTGGTAGAGGGAAGTCTGTCATGTGCCACTTTGTGAGCAGTTACTGCCTATAGATATTTTTATGAATTACCTGGCAACTGCCTCAGAAGTTAAAGCAAACTTTTGTTTAAGCATTAACTTCTAAATCAGTTTTAGGTTAGTTACCAGTAGAATTTGTATAACCCATTTGTAGAACAACTAGAGTGCTCATTCTTTAATTCTCTTGGGTATTTAAAAGCATTATCTCAGAATTAAAACCACTTCAGTTACTTTGTGACTGAATATCAAGCCAGTACTGACTTGATTTCTGTTGATACTAGTGCCACAAATCTAGTTTAGCAACAACAGTAGCATCTCTTACACAGTATCACCAAAGCTACATCTCAACACTGGTCACATTCTCATACAGATATTATTCAGGCTCTTCCTTCTCTTCTAAAGGCATAGTAAAGCTAGGTAAGTATCTAAGGTTAAATCTGACTTAAACCTGGTAAACTGTCTCTTATGAGAAATTGTTTGTTTTATTTTAAAACACTAGTTAGATAAAAAGAATCTTAACAGCATCAACAAGGCAAAATGCACTCTCAATGAACACATTTGAGCTTATGATGTACTTTCTAGGCTGTGCAGCTTGAAAAGGAAAGCCTGTTATCTGGAGGATGAGTAATGGGCAAGAGAAACATAAGCTTTCCTCCTCTTCCATGACCCATTTGTGCCTTACCTGGAGACACTGTTGAGAGATGTAATGGAACAGGTTCAGTCTTAATGCTCACGTGATTGTGATGGTATGTAAAGACACTTCTTACCATGGTTTAATACTAAAAGTTCCTAACCATGCAATTAACAGTGAGATTCACATGCAACATTTTACAAACCTGAGGGAAATGAATTATACGTTTAGATATTGTTCTGAGTACATTTGTGACATACGTTGGGTGTTGCATCATTCTTCTTCTCTGGACCTCCATCCTCTGGATCACTTCATGAGGATGTAGCCTCTGTGCTGGAGGTGCTGTTGCAGGGATGTGATGGGATATAGGCTGGTGTGTTGCAGGAAGATGCTGTGGTATTGGAGCAGCTGCATTGGCTAAAGGATGAGTTGGTGGTGGAGGTGGAGGTGGAACAGGATGGGAAGATGCATGAGAGGAGATTGAAGGATGGAAGGGATGCACTGGATGAGGGATAACATAGTCTACTTGAGGTGGAGGTTGTGGCTGTGGAGGAGGATTTCCATGAGAGTGAGGACATGCAGAAGCTTGATGGTGAAGAGGTCTGGTCAAAGAAGCATCTGGAATGAAAACATCAAGAGTTTTTAATTTGGTCAGTAGCAAGTTTTGACTTAAATTTATTCTAAAAAGTATCTTCACACAGATGCTTCAATATTATTACACCAGTGTAAACAGCAGCAACATGGGAATATGTCTTTATGCAATTTTTAAATAAAGTGATTCCAGCAGTATACCCTACAAGAAACCCACACTTCCTGCAACCCAAAGTATTCCACTTGCTAACGTTAAAAAATAAAGAAGTCTGCACTCTGAAAAATGTATACATGGTGAGAAATTTTACTTCAAGTTTGTTAGTTTTACACAAATTTCACAAATTTAACCTCCCTCCCCAATCCACTATTCTGTATAAAACAAACAAAAAAACCACCCCCCCAAAAAAATAAAGAAATCACAAACAAATGAGTTGACTCTCTGAGATTGCTCAAGCAGAACTCACTGGGGGGCAGGATGGGGGACAGACCAAGGAAAAAGAAATAAAAAGACATGGCTAAAATACAAAAATATTTTCATAGTAAATACTGGTTTTGAAGCCTGTTATTAAAGTCACTGAAAAGAAAGTATTTTAACTTCACCTTGATCCTCTTCAAATCCTCTACACAGGCTGAACTGTTTAAATATATTTCTTAATACATGTTTTGCTAGGCCAGTTCTAAGATCAAAGCAAGCAGATAGTAAGAGTTTTCATATGTTGCCAGGGAAGTTGGTTTCTTGCTTATTTGATTCCCGCCCCCCCCACCCCCAGTACCCAGTACTTATCTGTACTTACAAGGAGAATGCATATAATGCCGACAGGAAGAGAGCGATGCCTGAGGAGGAGGTTGGGGCTGCGGCTGCGCAACCATACTTGATCCATATCCATCTATTGTTATCGATTGGCTTGGGCCAGCACCAGCCTGATGCCCATAAATTGCAGTTCGAGATGAAGAACCAGGACAGCAGGGGTCAAAAGCAGATGTTCCATGAAAAGCACCACTTCCATGACTTCTTATACCACTGCTGCTTAAGTCTACTGGCAACGCCTGCTGCGTAAACAAACCATCTTTTTTCAAGCAATTCTTCAGACATTGAAACCAAAGACACCTTCAAACATAATGTGCTAAAAATAAATACTATCACAAGCAACTGGGATCCTAATTTTTAAGTTTTAAGGCTCAACTCTGGAATATTCTTTAGATATGGTTAACATTTCTTATTCCTAAATTCTTGAATCTGGTGTGAGAGACTAAATTCATGACACCAGATAGTGTAAAAAACAAAAAATCCTATGATGGATAAATCAGTGAGTATATGGGAGCACTGTGCATTGAAATGTGTGGAGACAAAAACCAATCTTTAGCGTTTCCAATTGTGCCTAATGTATTACACTTAAAACAAAAATGAGATTGATAGTTCTGCATGTCGTAAATTAAGTTTCCACAGTATTGTTCTTACTTATAACCGTATTGTTTTAAAGCTGTGATTTTAGTTACTTAAGAAGTCTTAAAAAACAATGCTTTTGGAAGAGCAACTCTTTTATACCTTTTATAAACAGAACGTTAGACTTGACTTTTTCTTCCCTTAAAGCAGCTCAATTATTTGCACTTCAAAACTGCTATGATTGGTACAGTATAATTCAAGTTATTTGTATTTGAGTTGGTTAAACAGCCACTATCATCTTACAGTCATCAAGAGGATGTCAGCTGTCAGTGATTACTTGTTGGATTATGACTTAAATTTTAAGTTTTTCGTGTCCATGTATTATAGCTCAAATTTTTTTTTTAAGTTCCCTTCTATGACGCCTGCTACAAAACAAGAGAACAACACACAATTCAGCATCCTATTCTATTCCCTCGTATTGATAACAACTTGAAATCACAAAGGGAAAGTCACAAGAATTAAACATGCCTGGTCATGGTAACTGGTGCCAGAACTGCTGCTTGCTCCACAAGGTGCAGGCACTGGGGGAGGCCGTTCAACAGGGCAGCTGGAGTCACTGAATGAAGGAGACAGTGGAACAGCTGGGTGGGGGTTGTGGTGGTGGTGGTGGTGATGCTGAAAGTGGTGGCCATGCTGCTGAAAGCAGCTTGTATGCGGATGCCCCAATGCATGATGAGTCTGTGAAGGTCCTCCACAAGGAGAATGCTGAGGGCAGCACGATGGTAACCTTGGCATGGCCGGAGGGCCAGTTTCCAGTGTTGTATTAGATGCAGTTCTTCTTATATCATCTTGACAATAAAGAAAGTTAATATTGAAGTGAAAGAAATTAGTAAAGCTGATCACTGTAAAGCAATGTCTTAAATAGAAAAAAAAAAAAATTGTACTTCACAATTAAACAATTAACTGACTGAAAAACAGATCTAGACTAAAACAAAACAAACTGGATACAAAAAAAGAAGATTCAGCCATGCCTGCCAAATGAACCAAAAATGAATGGTTCAAGTGGATGTACTCATGCGAACCACTAGAGGATGTGAAATGACACTTGCCTTATTCCACTAATTTAAGACATGTTATCAGTAAGGAAAGGAGGAAAGATTGTCCCTGCGGTGAGTGTGCAGACATCTCTAGTTTTTGTGCAACTGTGGTCATTGCAGGTTTTTTGGTACCTCACCTGACTTGCAGGTAGGGGCAGAATACCCATATTTAAGAGATGTTGGAGTGCCAGCTGTATACACAGCCCTATTATAGGTCAGCATCTACAAAGATCTGTATAAATGCACTTCATAGTACCATAGAATGTTCTGGGTTGGAAGGGGCCCCTAGAGGTCATCTTCCAGTGAAGTAATCCACAGGGGAGGTTAAAAAAAAAAAAATCTACATGCTTAACTTCCTTACAATACACATTAAAAATACCACATCTGTAACACACTGCAATGGAAGACTTAGTTCCCCATGAACCACATTCTAGCTCCTCAAAAAGCAAGGATGTAGTTCATTAGGTATAACCAAATTATTCCAATAGGCAAAAGCAGAAGGCTCCATCACAACTTCCTTCATCCTGAGGGAGAAATCAACTTCTTCAGATTCCTGCCCTCTCAGCTTACTACTGTTATGTTCAGTACTAAAAGTTCACATGTCATTTCATCTAGAGAATGCCAATTAAGTTCCTCTACCTCCTTTGTACTAGGAAGCAACACAACAGTTTAGAAAGCTCTCTTATTCTGTACCTCCAGCTGAAGTACCAGCAGTGCCGCCACTGGGAAGACTAGAAGTCGTCTCTGGTGCTGCAGAGGGCTGGCTGTTGGAGATGTTTGGAGCTGCATCAGAGGCCTGCTCTGAGGTAGACGTACTAGAACTGTTACTGGAAGCAGAACTCACGACCTGTGGCTCCACTCTAGCTGATGTGGTTGGCACAACTGTCGGCTCTAGCGAAACAAAAAAGCTTTCATGTTCTTTAAGCTTTAAAACCTGCTGGGGTTTTTTTATTGTTGTTGCTGGGTTTTCATTATTTTACAAGAAATCCTCAATTCTGGTCTTGCCAGATGCTAAAAAAGTCAGAATACAAAAGCTTGACAGGTAAAAAATACAAAATTTAATTCTGTTTCATTTGGGGGCATAATATTTTTTCTTTTTTAATCAACTCAAATTTTAAGAATTAATATGAAATAAAATTCCTAAATAAATCTGACATATCAAGTTTTATTTACTGAATAAAATACTACTAGAAAGGAAATAAAATTACATTGGTACTTTATGATGAGAACACTTGCCGAAATATTTCATAAAACCACAGGCAAACTACTCTATGATTAAGTATTACCTTCACCATTTTTTAATGCCTACAAGCGCAGAAAAGCTTTTAGGTAACTAACCAAGAACAGCATAACAACATCTAAACTAGCAGTACTGCTTTATAAACTTCAATCATTCCAGATGCATAGTACTAAAGGCTATAGCAAGATAAACCCAGTTTCTAGTCTCAATACACATTAAAAGCAAGTTTATTAAATCAGTATTTGAGACTTCTGTTGAAAGTACATACACATTCATTTTGTAAGGTAATACTTGGCAATATATTTAACTGGATGCAGGGAAATACACCAAACACTTGATAAATCTTGTTCTCTACTACACAATTGTAAACAGGTTAAAATTTAAAAAGATACCTGGAGGCACAATTCAAATTTAGTGTTGAAAAAGTCTGCCTTTGACTGTAAGTTTGAAATTTCTTTCAATTACTGACAATGCAATGACATGACTAGGACTATGAGATACCATAAAAGGGAATATCATCAGGAAGAGTTCAGGCTTTTTAGTAAATATGTCTGCACGGATATTGGGCGGGGGGAAGGAACAGGAACATCAAGACACTTCAAATACTTCTCTTACACAAAGTCTCAAAATAAAACATGACTAGTTTGCAAGATTTCTCTCTACCTAGTAGGTATATCAGCAACTCAGCGAGCAAGGGAATAAACATAATTCCCTTCTTCCAAGTCTTCCAACTCATCACATAAAAAACCATATCTAATAGCTACATTTAAATTCCTTCATATTTTAATGTGCCATTCCAATATACTAATTTTACTTAAAAGAAAACATTTTGGAAGAAATGTATTACTGCTTAAATTCAGAAAAGAACAGCAAGTATATAGGACACATATAGCCTAACATTGACACATGATCACAGAGTGCTCAAGACTGGGTGCTAAACACATTCTGAAAGCAATCCTGTAGTCAGACATTTCTCAATTCTATTGGCCTCAATCATCCTGCTCGCCTGGTGGTTTTGACTCACCACCAGCAATACAGACAGCTCTGTTTCTCTGCCCCAAACCCAGTAAAAGCCTGTGTGCTTGGTCAATCTCAAACTACTAGCTAAGAGAAACTTAATTTTAACACGCTTCACAGACATTAATCCAGGAAGATAGATGGAGATATGATCCTTACACTCATGGAAGTAGCTAGCAAAGTTGTAAGACCAGTGTCTTTGAAGACATCAGTAAAGTTATAAAGCATGTAGCTGCCTTGTAACAGTGTTAATTCAGAATTTTTAAAATTTTACACTAGTTCATGTATGAAATTTGATGCCCAAACAAAAAAATAGTATCGCTGAAATCTGGAAGACTCATCTTAGAAAGGTATTTCCTCTGGGGGGACAGAACAGCTAGTCGTAAATATACACATTACAGGAGTAGAAGTTCATTCAGCAGTGATCTTTTTTACAAGAATTTGGTTCCTGAATTTAAGAATAAATTCTGTAATTTGAGTTTAAAGAGTAAATTAAAGCAATATATGCCTATTTCCCTTCAATGATAGAGCTGTTGGGATATTTCACAGTAAATCCATAAAGAAAAGAATCTGTAAATCAACCCATCCTCTTCCTTAAAAACCAAAGAACCAAAACCAATTCCACCCCCCACCCCAAATAAAGACAACTTGAACAATAAGATATTGCAAGGTACTAGCTTGCAATGCACTCGGATATGGAACTACAACAGGACCAAATTTCTGTTAAACATTAGAAGTAGCACACATCCCAAAAATCCCCAAAACCATCACCACCACCACCACCACAATAAACCTCCAAAGACATACCTGAGCTTTAGGTTTTCCTTCTCTCAACTTTTCACAATACCTAGAAGTTGCTCTTATGATTTTCAGCGGGAATAGACTTATTAAGTGCTAGTAGGTTCTAATGTTAGGAAACAATGAAAGGTTACAGCTTCATAAACCTAACGTACTTTTACTAGTTTGGGGTTGGTTTTTTTTTCCACTGAAAAGGCCTGAAAGTTTAGTAACTATTCCAAAGCATAGGCAACAATAGATTTTCCTTTTATAGTGTTGTATGGAAGTGCGTATTTTTGAAGAAGTAGTTCCAACCTGTTCTGTAATTTCTGTTTGATGAGTCAGCCCTCAGACACACACCCAAGTCTGTTTTCGAAGAAAAATTAAATCTGCTAGACCCACTGGGAATGGCTAAACTTTTAATTTTAAAAGGAAGGCCACAAGAGGATTTTCCGATAGGCTTGGAAATTAGTTTGTTAAGAATTGAGACTTTTTCATAGAATGGTTATGTTACAACTGATGCAATTAATTCCTCTCCCCTTACAATGATCATCCTGCTCCTGAAGGAGGAAAAGATTTCTCAGACCAATGCAACTTACCATCTTCATCCACTGTAAGGTCCACTACTTCCGCTGCGTTCTGTCTCAGTGGCTGTATGACTGTGGAAATCCTACTGCGGTTCCGCTGTTCTTGAGGTCGTGCAGCATGAGAACCAGAGCTCTGTCCCCAGTGTGACCTTGTGTGTCCAAGTGTTGAACGAGACCTTAAAAAAAGTAACACCTTAAGTATTGACCTAAATTTTGCCATTATTAATTTTTTCTCCTCGGTGTTTGAGAAGCTATTTGAAGTAGGTTTTTTTATTATTAGAAGAGCATTTTTTGTTATGTTGAAATACCCCACTGTTCCACATTGACTAGATGTGTACTTACAAACATTACTGCAGCCTTTACCAGAGAACATAATGTCAAATACCCAGCAGGTAGAGTTTCAAGATCTTTAAACAATGTTCCTATGAAATACATACAGGTAACATAAAAAAATTCACTGTAAAACCCTACAACCACAGTCAGGCAGCAATTATATCTGATGTTATGCTTTAACTTTGTTAATAGTAAATGAAGAGTCTCCAAATCCTATACTATTCCCATGCAGTCTGAAACAGAAGATCTATGAATGATACAGAACTGTAAAGACAATAAAAATTTGTGAACATCAAGTTCTTTTGCATGTTAACTAGTGACAGAATATGTTCAGAGAATAATTTCTATATTTTAAATTTCCAAAGTGTTCTAGAAGTGCAAAATCTCTGGACTTTTCTCTCAAATATTATTCCCCCCCCTCTTCTAAGAACAAGCACAGCTTTGTGTAACTATGGGTTAAGGTTCCTTGGAGGACCTCAGGTTTGGTAGTAAAGGAGAGAAATCAGCTGTGGAAGGGTATGCAGGATTGTCAGTGTTCACTTCTCTTACAGGAACTCCAGCTTCATATCAAAACTGGTGCAGTTCCTCCTATATCCGTATTTTTTGTTTTTCAGTGCAAGCTGTAAATACAACACTAAGAAATATCTTTGGATTTCTTCTTGCACAGAAGAACAAGTAGGCAACATTCAAAGCATCAAACTAGAGATGAAGAGAAATAAAGCCTAGCATACAACTGTACAGTGAGCTAATAATCTTTAAGAGTTGTTGAAATAGGTATGATGGAGCAAAGTTGGAGGTGGAAACAAAAGACAACTGAATTGAAACAATCTAAAAGTTAGAGGTCTGGGTCTATTTTCTCATTGTGATTAAATAGGACATTCTGAATGACTAATGAATATGTTAGCTATATGGTGCTGTCTATATTCAGTCTGTGGCTGAGTCCATGTAATTTCAAAATCACTAGGTTAGTCCACCTCTGAAGTATGTATGACCAAATTCTTCAGTCCATTTAATGCTAAGACAATCTCAACCAGACCTTAATAGCTTTTTCTTAATGAGAAAAGGACCATCAGTGAAGGTTTCATAGCATTTCGATAGATACTGTCTATCTCATCCTCCTAGCTATGATTCCAGCTGCTCGAGACTGCAGCTTATTTTACATCAAAGATTTACTTTCTCTATGCTTTGAAAGTGGCTCTATCTTGATGGAGAAGAAAGGAGGAGTGAATGATCATCAGTACGTGACAATTTCTTGATTGAATATGGTGCATTGGGCAAAGGAGGAAGGGCATGGAGGAAGAAAATAACACATGGATTTCTGGATATAATTTTATAAAACCTGAGACTGCGTGAAACATAAGAAAATTTCTACATGCACGTGACTAAGTGAGGACTCAACATGCTACCAACTACATCTCACGAGCAAACACTCAGAAAACAAGCAGAAGAGCATTAGAATCTTGATTTCACAAGGCAAATAAAAATCAGAGAAATAATTAACCATCTCTGGTAACAAAAGAACCAAGAAAGAGTTGCAGTCATGAAGTTTTGGGGTAACTTCTTGGTTTAAGTTGAGTAAATTTTTTGGGTCTGCAATTCTAAGTTGTGGGATAAATTCAAAGAAACTGCAGCCTAACAAATTCCACTGAAAGTGTTTTTCTAAAGACGAATTATTTTCACTGGGTTTACTAAGTTTCAGAATAGTTTCTTCAGGAGTGAGTGAAAGTAAGGAAGTGTTTTTCTCCAGCACTCTTCTCCTTACTTCTAGAAAAGCAAAATCAGTGGCTTTCCACTAGACAATTTCACACTGATGCTACTGATAAAGTATACTACGCGTGGTTTAGTATCAAGCACTGTATATTAGTTGCTGAACAACGGTGTCCCACCACTGCCTTTTCCAGAGTCCACTGCCAGTTTTATCAGATCTCCTTACTTTTAGGAAAATAGCAATCATCAGAGTAGGATTTCACTAACAGAGTGGAAGAGGATGACAAGGAATTAATGCTGTAAAGGAGGAGAAAAAAAAAAGATTTCTTAAAGCCTATACAATATTACACTTCAGAGTCAGCAAAGCTTGAAAGAGCGCACAAAATCATACTATTTGCTATCACAACAAGCAAGGCTGGACCTGTAGAGTTACCCAAAAAGTCTGATTGAAGGCACTGCAGAAAGAAACCCTTTTTCTCGCACAGCTCTAGTTCTCTAAAGCTTTTGCTTTATCTTCTCCTTATTTAGCATTACCACCCTTTTCTTCGAGAAGATTTTCCTTCAGGGAATGTTCCATTTTTATGATCTTCACCCATTCCCTATCTTCTGCCCACAACACATCAATGATATTGAAAGATGATCCCAAGCCCACTAACATACACATCATGGCAGATGCTTTGCCTCAACATAAAACTATTTTTTGTTTGTCTCTAGCTTTTCCAAGTCTAAACACAAATTTTGCGTTTCTAAGGGATCCAGGTGTGTGTCTGGAGAATGCTGCCTTCCTTCCCGTAGTTTTCTTCTCTCCCACAAAAAAAATTTGTATGACTGAAAGGAAGATTCAGGAAGAGACAGATAAAACACTTCATGAGTTTTCTTCTTTCTGATCTTTAGTACTAAAATGCTCAGTAAGCTTTTATGTACACTCAACCATCACCTGACCATCAGGCAAGTTCATTCATACAAAGAAACCACTGGATTAGAGTGCATCAATTCCTTTCAAACTAAGTTTTACCTGTAAATTTTAAGTAAACTAAATTATTCCTATTATCTAGATATAGCCATTTGTTTAAAAGTGTTTTTAAAAAAGCAGTGCTTTTTATGTTCCATTTAGGAAGACAGAGAAACCATCTTTAACATGCTTAAATATCCTAACCATAGATTCTTACCACAGCTTAAATTTAGAGCCTACTATTAGATTTTTATTTACTAAGGTCAAGATTAACACTTCAGAATTTTAAGGTTTTTTTAAATTGTCAGGTGTGAAGTTGCAACTTCCTTGCAGAATGCACAAATATCAGTGAGAGCCTCCAAACTTCAAGTAAACTTTTTCGAATCTACAATCTTTTTCACTACTATTAATTTGCATCCTGTAAGTCCATGTATTACTATGGGGATATACACTGCCATGCAACTAATAACTGAGTCTTAAAAAAAAAGTTAGTTCTACAGTACTAGACATATGTAGCAAGCATTAAAAAGCTTAGCCTCACTATCACAGAAAAAAGCTAGCAGTACTATGAAGTGTCAAAAGAGGTATCTTCATTTTTGCATTTCTGATTTGACTTTTTTTACTTCTATCCAAAACCACACGCCTTTTAAAAAAATGCAGTAACCGCTCTCATCTATACACAAGTTATAAAGAATGAAAATAACCGTTTATTTTGCTCTGAGCAGTATTCCAAGTTTGGTAAATAACCTTCATAATGTTCAGTTTGCTTAGAGCATTTATATTTATAATTTTATACTGAACTATCATTTAGATGTCCAAGAGTTGCCTCTGTTCCATACATAATAAGCTTGAAACACCGGAAAACCTGCGTAGGAAGTACTCTATGTTCAAAGTATAAGAGACTAGTTTAGAAGTTTCTAACATTTCAGGCTCAAGATTCGAATTTAAGATTCTTCCTCCTCATCGCAAACTTCCTGGAATTGTTTTCTTACTGTATTTTTTTTTTTTAAACATAGAATTGTGACTTTTTCCAACACAAAACTCAATTATTTCTTTAATAGTCTCAAAGTTTTCAGCTGAACTTTTCAGTGATACCTTTTCTCAACAGTTGAGAGCAAGTACAATAAATAGTTAAAGAGCAAAATTTAATTTGACCATTCTTTTAAGATCTTAAAAAAGATAAATAATCAAATGCCTTTGAGAAATCTGCATGTTAGAAGGTCTAACAAACTGAACAGGCCAAAAATTTAAATTCACCAGAAAGTGCCCTTGGTTCAATCTCCTTCTCACTTAAATCACTAGTAAAGACACCACTGACATCAATAAAAATGGGAGTAGAGGGTGATGCTGGCATTTTGGCTGTAGCATTGAAGAAAGTAAGGGAAGAAAACAGTAATTTTTCCACTCCTTTATGGCTACTACACAAAACATTTCTTATTGATGCTAAGAAGACAGAAAGTCGTTTATTTTTTAAAAGCATCTTATCTGTCTTTAATCAGGTTTGAATTGATATTCTATAAGCACAATCACGTTTGTCTAGCCTAATTTTTTTACCCATTAAAGCTTTACACGCAAATTATAAGGGGCTAAAGCATTAACTTGATCTAGCTCAAGTCTTTTTAAGCATTCACGTTGTTTCATAAGTTTTAATGACTGTTCTCAACAAATACAATCATGTGGATAAATCAACTATTTCTAGAAACATGTTTCTAATCACCTCAAGACAGAGTATCTGTCGATTCTGCAGCTTTTTTTTTTTTTAAACAGAAGGAAATATTAAGAAACATATTGTCGAAGAAATTAATTTTTAAAGTGTTGATTCCTCTCATCCCACTTCCTCTTTGCTGTAGATTCAGGCTGCATTTTTGTGAGTATGACATCTTTTGTGTGTCAGAGTTTAACAAAGAAATTTAGTTAGTTCCAAGTGTTCATGAAATCTACATTATGCACATTTGTCTTAAACATAAAATTTGTTTCCTCAATGTGATATTTGTTCCAATAGAAGTGGTTTTTGCAAGAAAACTTGTCTGTTGTTTTAAATTTAAAATTGCATTATTGAAAGCACTATCTGATGACAGATAGAATGTTTTCCCAATTTACTGCTTACTGTTGCTCTGCCATTTTTTTCTAAAAAATGGATAATTGTTCTTCATATTCTGTAAGTTTGTCTTCATGTTCACAAACATGAGAATTTCAAGTTTTCTTCTTCAAGGAACTCCACTTTAATAGATTCTGCAAAATCTGACAAATATGGAACAAAACTTCCAGAGAGGCACGGACCAACAGGAAACCATGCACAGCAGCAGCTTCAAAAAAGCAGGATGCTTTCCTGAGAAATGCTCAGATAATCCCTAGATAGTCAGCTCAGCCTAAACTTGCTCTCTCTAGTATCTCACTATACAGCTTTGCATCCCTAAAATTCTGCCTATCAGTCACACTAACTATAACCACCTCAACAACTCCAAAATTAGTTGAATTCTCAAGCTTTGGCAAATCTGTGGTTTGGGTTCTTTTGTTTATTTCTTTGGAGTTTTGGGTTTGGTTTTTTTGTTGTTGTTTGGCTTTCTGGTTGTATTTTGTTTGGGGATTTTTTTGGGTTTTGGGGTGGTAGTGGTGGTCTGGTTTTGGTTTTGAATCAAAAAAGTATATTATGCATGCTGGTTAGAATTGCTGTGACATTACCTTATGGGCTTTTAATAATACGGAGCCTTGTGACAAACCTGGAGCCAAGCAAAATTTTATTAATACAAAGAGATGCAAATCTCACCTGTAGCTCTCACCAACTGTGACAATTTCCACTTCACTATCTGTTGAGGTAACATTTATTTCTTCATTAGCAGTGACCTGGGGAGTGGAGGATGCTTCAATCACCACAACATCTTCATCAATACTTCCTGATGAGGAAAAAGGAAAAAGAAAGTTTGTATACTTCATCTATCTCAGGAGCTGTCATGATAAGAGACTTTGTCTCCTAGACTTGAAATACATGGGTAGTAATTCTGCTGTAAATATGGAAGTAAAAAAAGGAAGGAGACAGAAGATGCAGGGGGTGGGGAGAGAAGAGACGCAAGCTTACATTCTGCTGTGTATTGGAAGTAATTACAATGAATTTTATGAGCTATAACACCAACAAAATTCAGTCATTTAATATAAAAACAAAATAAACTTTCAAACTAGCAAAACAGTGGTGGTTTGTTACCATTAATAGTTTTTTTTAAATGTTTTTCTAATTATTAAGTCTCAAGGCTAAACAGTGGCAACAGGAAAAAAATATGTACCAACTAATATATGTTATTTTTTTCTACAACAAAATGAAGATCACAAATCCACTGGTGTTTATAAACATCTTTACATCTACACTTTCAGTGGTATTCACAATCATATACTAGACAGAGGAAGTTAAAATGAAACTATCAATGGTAAAAAACAACCACCAAAACCCCACAAAATCAATTTAGAGACAAGCTTTGATAAGAAACAATTTCCACTTCAGGAAGAATTATTAAAGTTCCAGCCTAATACCCAGACGCATGGAAACACCTCTCTACAGCTGTAATACTGACAGCGACAAGTTTGAGCTATCTAGAATACTTAAATTGAGATATGAATTATTCACTATAGTAATACCACTGAACACAAAAGAACTTACTAAATAAATACGCTAGATAGCTTGGAAATAGCAAACTGCCATTTTGAGATCCGCAAATTTCTTCAAGAAAAGTGCTTGAAGAATTTGGTCTCATTCAAATCAATACTTACATCCTGTATGGACTGACTTCTCAGCTGCTCTACCCAATGACAAGGTGGGGCAGATTATTCTCTCCCCCCACCCAAGTATCAACATTTTTATATTTTGAAAAAACAAGTTGCATTACTTGTTTTCTAATGGCCTTTGCTTGTTTCTGGCCATTTTTATCCCAGAGTGACTGGTGCCTGAAGATGGAAAGCGCGATGCTTCCAAATACTGGTATTCACCAAATTCTCATGATTGGAAGTAATGTGACCAAATTAATTCTCAGAACTTGCATGAAAATTTTGGGAAAAACTGAAAACATTACACTATCTAGGAAAAAAAAAAGTCACATGCTAAAGTTGATAATACAAAGAGCACAAACTGATACACAACTTTGTACCCCCTTCTAAATAAAAAGAGCTTTCAAATGAGTTCTGTTAGAAGCACACCAAAAGGAAAAGTACATGTATGTGAACTTCCCTTATTTCAAGAATATTACAATAGTTTGGAGAACAGTATATACAAATTAAGACAATTGTCCAATACAAACTGGTTTCATTACATTTATCTGAACAATGAAAAGTCCGCCGAATAGCAAAACTTCAGTAACACTGAAGTAACATTCATAATCCTCATCAAGTAGCTCTTCCATAGTCAGACACTAGCCATACACCCAGTAGAACTAAGTAGTATGAAAACACGGTCTTTCATTGTCAACAGGATTTACTGTTTCTTCTTTGCCTCTCCTCATACATTACTACAAAGAAGTGAACACAGTTTTTCAAACATCACAAAACTACACCAGTTTATTCCGATTTAGACAAGCTCCTACAAAGCAGAGCAATGGACAGTGTTAAAACAAAGAGAAGTCTCTGAAGTCATCTGTCAAAATCAAGTCTCAGAGTACAGCCTCTTTGACAGGCCGACAGGAATACAGGGTGCCTGCAGCACATGGGCAGCAACACCACTGTCAAGGAGAGCCCCCTGAAACTTCAGCCCATATTAAGGGATTTATCCTAGCATTAGAGCATTTCATTTACAAGGCAATTAAGAACTAAAACTGTGCCAATACTAAAGAACTAGTGAAATTTAAGATGTCTTTTTGAATGTTCTGTAATATCAAAGCTGGGAAAAAAAAAAAAGTTCTCTGCCAAATGCCAAAATTCAAACCTGCTGGTTTGAACTACTCCAAGCCTAATCCTAGCAAAGCCAGGATGTTTTACAGTTCCACATAATGTAACTTTGCCGGTTAAGTTAGTGTCTGAAGGCGAACTTTACTGGTATGTCGGTCAGAGTAGTTCAAGATGGTATGACTTGAATTTTAAGAGTGCACAACCCTCTAAAGCAGAAAGAAACTTTCTTTAGTGAGATGACTGACTTGCAGAAATAAAACAAATGGATTTTCAGAGGTTTTGCTACACTGTTTCTAAAAATATTTGCTCAAGAGAATTCTGAGGCACTCGCATGCCTCAAATATTTAGCACATATGTAACTCCTAGGAGCCATCTGGTGAATCCAAGGCTACACATTAGCAGTAAACAGCTGAACATCTCTTTAAGGTGTCTACATCTTTAGATCTACATGGGAATAAACTTGGTGTATATATAAACACACCTTTGAAGTACATTTCTTAGGAAGGGCATAAAACCAACAGAATTTGATATTTCAGTAAATCCCAGACCTAAGGTACTGCACAATTTACAAAACATACCAACAGCCAAGGAAAAAACCACAACAAAACAAACAAAAAAATCCAAAGCCAGAAATACACCAGATGACAAAATGCTTGCACATCACCCTGCAGTCCACTACACAGGATGTTTTTTATATAGTCCACCATGACAAGGTGTACTTTATTTGCTTTCATGCACATACCAGTCACTGACCAGTCATCTTCTGTCTGGAATTCAAGCAAATTTGATCTTAAAGTATGAAGACCTTACTCATCAATGTATTACCTAAATGACTGACCCTGTAAGAGAACCACTGAATCTGTATAATGACAGTGTTACTGTACTAATCCTATACTCCCTGAAGGTTTCTCCTTGAAGGGAGATTTAGTCACTGGACTGTCGGCAGCAAAACAGTTATGCAGAGGTACAAGAAGTATTTTGTACTACCCTCAGCATATCACCTATGGCTATAAAACAAACAGAAAATTATCCTTCCACAGGTATAGACTACTTCTCTCCATCATCTCCTGAATAACAAAACGTGGCAAGCAAATTATACTCTACTTGTTTTTGACTAAATTAACCTTTGGGCTACTACCAAAAGACTCATTCTACATTTTAAGTGAGCTGGTTAAAACCAAAACTTCTACTGAAAATTACAGCAAGAATTTTATTAATTTCCACTGAATTTTGGTTTTTCCCCACTAACACCCACAAATAATATTTTATAGTGCATGCAAGCCACCAAATTTTAGTTTGCAAGTTTGGCATATCCCAACAATTCAGAACCATTGACAGCTGTTAGTATTCAGGTTTTGTAAATGACTAATAATCAGGAACTTCTTTACAGAAGCTTCTCCCCTCTCTTTTAAAAGCCTGTTTTATGACAGAAGCCTAGCGCTCAGCCAACCTAGGGGAAGGGATAAACTACACTGGCTTGAATCGAAGTTTGAACATGCTCAAAATGATAATCATTCCTTAAAAAACAAAATACTCCCTCCTCCAGGCCCTACATCACAAAGACAGTAAATGTGTCAGATTATAAAATATTTTATTAGGCAGAATGTAACTTTTAAAAAATACAATACTGTGTAGTCCAATACTTAGATCAGCAAATGAGGATAACTTTTCGCCATAAAGTTGCTAGATTATTTCAGAACTACAACTGCTAGGTGGTGTTGATAGAACACATGCAGTTCTGAGAAGCAAGTTTTAGAATGAAATATTTCAATAATCCAGAAGTTATAAATAAGAGACTAATATTTGCACAGTATAACATGTATGCTATATACAATTATACTCTGTGCATAATGTATATAATTATACTAAACTCTGGAAGATCATGGGACAACTCGGAGATTAAGCAATCATCATCAAGAAAAATGTATACCACCAAGGTCATAAATGACATACTTATGTTTGGTTGATCATTGCCCTTCCTGGAGGGTATTTTACATCTATTTTGCAAATAACATGGCGTTTAACTAGCTTAAACAATACATGTAAGATAGAGAAGGGGTTTTACAATATACAATTTCAAATGAGACTGTCTTGGCCAAGCCATAAGTGAAAACAGAAGAGATTTAAAATAAGCAGTCAAGTTCCAGTGACAGAGATGACTTATTTCATGTTCCAAGCTTTCACTGGATCAGACCAACGGCCTGCTGAGGCCCACGTTCTCTCTGCCAGCTGCAGCAAGCAAAACTATGCAGTGAGAGTAGAAAATCCAAGCTGTAAACTTGAACTGAAACTTCTCGCACCACCCAGCATCCCCGACAATGTCACAGATGTCAGAGAGCACTTTCTTATCTATTCATTACTGGTGGACAGCTGTCCGTAAGTGTGTCTAATCCCTTTTTGAACTTGCTGGTACTATGTGCCTCTACAGCACCTTGTGCTGGTAGGTTCAAGATAATTACCTGGATAGTAATTAAACTTGAAATGGATAAAATAATAATATCCTACTAGTGTTAATGAGTACTCCCTTCTTCAACTTTCAAACTTCTTGAGCTAGATGTGACCGGTACCCCCTGCTCCCAACCCCTGGTAATATGGTTAGCATAACTAAGGCTATTTTATGAGGCAAGCAGCCATTCTCTGTGACTGAGCAGGACACGTATTCATTCCCTTTCCCCTCCTTCTCAGGCTCTGAAGGTCCTGTGAACCAAGTAGACAACCCAAACAGATTTCTTCTTCCACTCCCTATCAGCCTCAAGATTCCTGGGCGCCAGGATGATTACTCCCTTCCTTGCTGACCTTGAAGGTCCCAGGCACCCGGCCAACCAGGTGTTGTTGATGACCCCATCACAGAACAGGGAAACATAACAGTGCAGAGAGCACAGTCTATAAAATCAAGAGGTTACAAGTCCAAACTGGGAACCTGGACCAGAACTGCTGCTGGACAGTAAGACTTGGGACCCCCTGTGGCCAGGGACACCTCCACCATCGTCCACTTCCTCCAAGGATTGAGTGAGTGATTCGTATTCTT